ATCACAACTCGTACTCCACGAGAATGCAATACAGAGCTCGAATCCGAGCAATATCCCCAGAAGTCAAAAAGCAAGGGTGGTCCCAAATCGGCGGCCAGCCCACACAGTAAGCTCTACCTCCACGTTGGATGGCCTAGCCTCAGCCTCCTCGGCCTCGGCGACCCTCCCAAAATCTACTCCCTCAAAGTCCTCGGCCTCGAGCCCCTGACCCCCGGCCTCAATGAAAGACCTTGGCTCAGACTCGTAATGGGAAGCACTAAAACTAGAAGAGGAATCAGAGGAAGAAGAACGGAAGCACAAGGAAGACATCTTACCGATGTCCACCACAAGAAGCCAATTTCTTTGTAAATTTGTCCACCACAAGATTCCAAAAACTTCCATTCCTCGGACTGCCTCCCAAAGGTAAGCCCAAGTAATTCATTGGCCAGTGCAATACTTCACAACCTAAAATGGGTGCACATTCAAACAACTCCCTTTCATCCATATTGATCCCCAAAATGCAACTCTTATTAAAATTGATTTTAAGATTTCACATCCGCTCCAACAATCACACCATCAATTTCAAACTCTAACCCAAATCAGATCATCAACTTCACAAAATAAGATCATATCATCAACAAATTGCAAATGTGTAAGAGGCACTATATCCCTTCCCACTCTCCACCCCCTCACTAGCTCTCTCAAGTCTGCTCTTTGAATTAATTTTCGTAAGACCTCAGCCACTAAAGTAAACAAAAAAAGGGGAAAGTGTGTCACCCTATCTAATTCCTCTGATAGCAAGAAAGTAATCAACTACAAACCTATTTACCAATAATTGAATAATGGCAAGTTCTAACACAACTATGAATCCATTTGCACCACTTCTCTCCAAACCAAAATTCTTCAACAACTCCACAAGAATTCCCAATCCACCAAGTCATAAGCCTTCTCCAGATCAAGCTTACATACTAGCCCCTTTGGAGAAATTAATGAGAGATTTTGTGAGAACCAGAGGAGGATAGGAAGGATCATAGGGTTAGATAGGAGGTTGTAAGCAAAAGTAGGCCTAATGGTGGAGTAGGAATTGGGAACATTCAAAAGAAGAACATGGCTCTGTTAGGGAAGTGGCTATGGAGATTGCCAGCGGATAAGGATAAACTATGGGCAAAGGTGATCATTAGCATTCATGGGCTGGCGGCTGAAGATTGGGATGCTGGAGAATTGGCTAGAGCTACTATTATTGTTTCTTGGAAATCCATACATGCAATCATTCCTTCTTTCCTACCTTTCATGAAGTATAACTTCTGCTCTGGGAATCAGGTAAAATTTTGGAAACATGTCTGGGTGGAGACTGTTGTTAAATTATTGTTATTTCTGTTTTATTTCTAGTATGCTGTCAGCATGTTTCTAGCATTCTTTTAGTTGTTTTTTTATTAGAGTCTGCTGCCAGGGGTATATATGTAATTCACCCCTTATGTTTTATCATAACATTATAAATAGAAGGTTGGGCGCCGCCAGCCTAGATTTTTGGCTCCCAAACACTCTTCTTCTCCTCCTCTTCTCTCTTTTTAGGAAGAAAACATGGTATCAAAACTTGATTCTGGACGATAGGAACATTCTTTTCTATTTTCTGGACTGTGAAGAGGAAAATACCTGATCAACCTGGTCAGACCATTCACTTTGTGTATTTTCTATTTTCTTCCTTGGTCGTAATACCATGGAAATCCTTTTTGGTGACAGACGATGTTGTGAAAGTTGGTTTTTTTGTGTGCACACCTTCTAGAGGTACTGTAAAAGGGTTGTGTGATCCCATTCGTAACAGGTATGTGCAGTTTTGCTTGGCACCTGTGGTGTGTGATCTAATGGTGATCAGTGCTTAAGTTTTTGGGCAGGTTATTTGCTGTTAGTGGAGTTTCAGCAGTGTTCTTAACATTCTAGAAGGCAGATTGACTTGTTTTTTGTGCCCTACATGTGGTTGTGAGTGGTAAAAATAGGGTGGAGACAGTTATTTGTGCATCAAGTTCCTTTTTGGTGTTTGTAGAATCTGTTTTTAATGGCAACCGATGATTCTGCTAATCTGGGGTTACATCGGTGTTTATTGAGGGAGTGTTTATCTGAAAAACGCTGCTTTAAACATTTTTTGCTTTTTCTATTTGGTTGGGCATTTTATGGGCGTTTCAAGTAACACCCCATAAAGTTGACCTACACCTCAGCTTAAAGTGTACCACATCAGCATCTCATTTCAAGAAATGCCCAGGCATTGGGGGAAACGAGAATTTGATGTTTATTTGATAAATGGTGAAACCAAACAGTGGTTTCATATGCAATAAACGCCAACGCCTATGTGGCACTGATGTGGCAGCATTTTTTCAATAAATTCTCATGGAACCAAACATAGCCATGACCTCCCCTATGCCAATTGCCCCTTTAAATGGCCTAAATTACTTAGAGTGGTCCAAAAGTGAAACTTTATGTTACAGCTAGGGGAAAGGTTGGATACATAAATGGGGAAGTAAAAGATCCTAAGAGTGGGACAGCTAAATATGATAAGTGGGACAGCTAAATATGATAAGTGGGACCAGAAGAACAGTAGGGTGATGTCTTGACTTCTTGCAGCCATGGAATCTGAAATGAAGAACTTTATGCTAGTAAAGACTGCTAGTGAAATGTAGGAACAAGCCAAAACAACCTATTCTGAGTAAAGACACTACGCCAACATTTATCAGTTAAAGGTTAAATCGTGGACCTGTAAACAAGGTGATCATAGTTTGTCAGCGTACTATTCAGCCCTTACTTCGGTATGGAAGAAGTTAGACTACTATCAGCCAAACAGCCAAACAGCCAAAGCTTATAAGAAGTTGGTAGTAGCGGGTTTTTGCTTTCTTGTTGGGATTAAACCCTGTGTATGAGCCTCTAAGAGTTCATATCTTGAAGAGTAGTGAGTTGCCTTCAGTTTAAGAGATGTATGCCCTGATCCAGTTTGAGAAAAGTAGACGAAGTGTGATGGTACAACTGAGGGGGAGCAACAAGTGGTCTTGGCTGCAACAGGTGGTAATAATGTGGGAAAGATGAGTGATGCCAAAGAAGGTTAATTATAAGGACAAGTTGTGGTGTACTCACTACCGGTGTTCAAGAATCAAGACATACATGTGAAACATGTTGGGGTCTCACTGGGAAGCCGAAGTAGGTGGCAAAAACCCAAGAGAATATTCAAGAGCATCACACGGGTTCTCCCCCCAAGGAGGATATCATTAACTCCTGTAATGCTGTAAACATCTGGAATCATATGGTAGGGCCTTCAGTCAAATGGATAGTGCAGCTATAGATACCCCTTCTACTTCATTTGCATCTCCATTAGGTAACACCACCTCTACCTTCCACGTCTCCATTGCCATTGATTCCCCCTAGATCATTGACTCAAGGGGGGGCCTCCAACCACATGACCAGTAAGCCAAATCTTTTCTGGTCTTGCAGCCTTTTGCCCAATAGAGATAAAGTGACGCTTGTAGATGGATCA